AAATTTCAAAATAAAAATAGATACCAATAAAATTATATTAATTGAGGCATCAGTAGGTTAAATGTTTTTGAATATTTACATAAAACTGTAATTCAAGATAAGACTGTCCAACTCTGATTAAAGCATTATTCTAACCTTCTTCAATGTAAATATGCTTACATGTCCTCCAATAATAATAGAGTAAAATAATAAATGTAATAATAACAACAATAAAATAATAAATGTAATAATAATAATAATAATAATAATAATAATAATATCAACGTAAAATAATAAATAGCATTGTCTTGAGTATAAGCCAGGGGAGACTTTTTCAGCACTGAAAATAAACAGTTCAAACTGTCTAATAATAAATTATATAATAATAATAATAATAATAATAATAATAATAATAACAATAATAATACATTTTTGCTAAAATATTTTTGCAGCCAAATGAAGCCCGCAAGCTACTTTGAGTCTCTTTTTTAGAGAGAAAAAGTGGAGTACAAATAAAACTAATAATAATAGTGAGATTTACAAAAGGCCTTCTTGGGAGGACATTTTTAGGCTTGAGAGACCTTTAAAAAAAGAAGTGAGCAGGAAGTGAGCCCTAGAGATCATTGTAGGTATAAAATATGTGTCCCTTCTGTCATTTGCAGCTGGATCAAGTCTTGATCTATTGTTGGGGTCTTTTGGAGGCCGTACCTGTGGTGGAGGCGGACTGATGAAGCTCAGCTGTTTTTTCCTCTCTTCAATCTGCCGTGTTGCAGCTTCCATCATTTGCTTGATCTGAAAAAAAGAAAAGAGGTGAAAAGATGGTTTAGTTTCTTTCTGGATTGAGGGCAGAACGTTACTTCTTTGCTGGATGCTGGGAGGTACAAAAGCGACTCAAAGCTCACCTGCAGCTTGGTCAGCATCCCTGGGCTTTCTGTCGGCGGGCCAGGGATCACTTCCGGCTCTTCTTCCACTTCTTCGAAGCGAGGGATGCGGCGCTTCTTGACCCCCGAGGACTCCTTCGAAATGTCGGGGTCCTCACCAAACACATCCTACGGGAACAGGGACGTAAACAGCTTGGTAAGGATATTAAACACAGAGGCGGACATCAATGGTGCAAACCTGCTGAATGGACCGAAGGCGCAACAATAAGTGAAGCTATTCCAGCAAATGGGTTTTCATTGGTCTTGCAATGCTTCCCTGGGAATGCACACCTCCTTGACAGTAAAGCGCACTGAAGGCCTGCTTCTAATGGAGGACAGCAAAGGGGAACCTCTTGCTCATTCAAATCAGTGCTATTCCACGACTGCAAAGGCATATCCACCTGAATCAGCTTTCCCAGAGCTCCAAACATTTTTAATATTAATAATAATAATAATAACAACAATGATCAGCCACTGCCAGAGGGGACAATTCCACCTTATCTCCTGTGCTGTGCTAATAATAATATAATATAATATAATATATTGTATATACATAATATGTATAATATTATAATGTAATACAATACTAATAATATATTATAATTATATTTTTTACATTACATGTAATAATAATAATAATAATAATAATAATAATAATAATAAAAATAATACAACTTTATTTATACCCCTCCACCATCTCCCCAAGGGGACTTAGAGCGGCTTACATGAGGCCAAGCCCAACAACACATCAATAAAACAAAAAGCAATAAGCAAATAAAACAATACAATTAATCTAAATCACATATAAACAAATATTTTTTGTCGTGTCAGGAGTTGCTCCTGTTGTGAGAGAATTGGCCGTCTGCAAGGACGTTGCCCAGGGGACGCCCGGATGATTTGATGTTTTTATTAAAGCAAAATCATACACAATAAAATAAAATAACATAATAATGAGCAAGATAAAATAATGAGCATGTTAAAAACTAAGATACTAAAATACTAAAATCAGGATGAGATAGGGATGGAGCAGATTGTTTGTGGGGGAGAAACTCATAAAGGAACGGGGTCATATATACAGGTGAGGAAATATACTCTGGGGACAAAAACATAATATATTGTGTGTATATATATATCCTGTAAGGCGCTCTGAGTTCCCTTCGGGGTGAGAAGGGCGGCATATAAATGTCGTAAATAAATAAATAAATAACTTGGTTCAAAAAAGTTACTTTTCCAAACCTAATCTGTCAGGTTGTACCCAAGAGCCCAAGCAAAGAAGGCTATGAATAAAAATGGTCGCTGAAAGGAATCCTAAAGGCCAAACTGGGCTCATTCCAGTTGTTAAGATTTCTACAAGTTCACGAGGGTAAGAGGGAAATGGGTACACACAAAGAGAACACACTGATTTTTTGGCCAACTTTCAGGCATGACTGCTCCAGGTCCGGGATAATAATAATAATAATAATAATAATAATAATAATAATAAACCTTTATTTATACCCCGCTACCATCTCCCGCAGGACTCGGTGCGGCTTACAAGAGGCCGAGCCCAAATACATCATAAAACATAACAACAATACAACAATAAATAACTCATAACAAAGCAAAACAATACAATAATGACATGACGCAATTAAAAACCTGTGGCAGGGCCAAATGTAAGAATTAAAATTTTAAAATGCTGGGCATGTCCAGGGAAATAGGTTGGATATTTTAAAGATAGGTGGGCGTGCAGACAGTACTAACTCTCTCGTAAAGTGCATTTGGGACATATTGCTTGGGAGTCCTTATTCTGGGAAGGCACACTGGAACATCCACGTCTTCAAGCTCTTTCTAAAAACCAACCTCAATGTGTTTGCCATACATACACACATCCCTTTTGGCTCCCTTTGTAAACAAATATGTCCAAACATAACGAAAACGTGGACTCACTTTCAACTCTCTCTTCCGGTTCCGGTCGCTATTGGATTTGGAGTGTCGGGAGCTTCGACCTTCCTCCACCGCTTCAAAGAGTTTGTCAACAAACCGCAAAGTGGAGTCATCCAGGAAAGGTTTGAGGTGATCTGAAGGAGAAGACGGAGATAGTTAGAGAGAGATTCAAAGAGGAAGCATTCAAACATAAGGGAAGGCTACTAAGGAGGCTGTTCAGGTCCTGAACCGGTGCCTGGCCGCTGTGACGGTCTGGATGAGGGCGAGCAAATTGAAGTTGAATCCAGACAAGACAGAGGTCCTCCTGGTCAGTCGCAAGGCCGAACAGGGTATAAGGTCACAACCTGTGCTGGATGGGGTCACACTCCCCTTGAAGGCCCAGGTTCGCAGCTTGGAGGTCCTCCTGGACTCACCCCAGGTTGCAATGGTGGCCAGGGGACCGTTCGCACAATTAAAACTTGTGCGCCACCTGTGCCCGTACCTTGGGAAGTCAGCCTTGGCCACGGTGGTCCACGCTCTCGTTACATCTAGGACAGACTACTGCAACACACTCTACATGGGGTTGCCTTTGAAGACTGCTCGGAAGCTTCAAATAGTCCAACGAGAGGCAGCCAGATTAATAACTGGGGTGGCATACAGGGAGCATACAACTCCCATGTTACGCCAGCTCCACTGGCTGCCAGTTTGCTACCGGGCACAATTCAAAGTGCTGGCTTTGGCCTATAAAGCCCTAAATGGCCCCGGCCCAAATTACCTGTCCGAACGCATCTCCCCTATGAACCATCGCGGAGATTAAGATCCTCTGGGGAGGCCCTGCTTTCCGTCCCGCCATTGTCACAGGCACGATTGGTGGGGACGAGAGACAGGGCCTTCTCAGTGATTGCTCCCCGGCTATCGAACCCCCTCCCTAGGGAGATCAGATCTGCTCCCTCCCTCTTGACATTTCGGAGGCAAGTTAAAACGTGGCTATTCGAGCAAGTGTTTACAAATCCCCCCTTTATTTGTTATAATTATTACATCTATATCTTCAACTCAAGCGCTGGGTTGTTGTAGGTTTTTCGGGTTGCTTTTCGGGCATCCTCAGAGGAGACCTCACAACCTCTGAGGATTCCTGCTACACATGTAGTGAAACGTCAGGAGAGAATGCTTCTAGGACATGGCCATACAGCCTGATAAACCTACAACCCAGTGATTCCGGCCATGAAAGGCTTCGACAATACAACTCAAGTGCTAGTTTAGACATCATCTAAAGTTCTGAAATCTCCAAATAACTTCTATAACAAAACAGAGCAACCTCTCATCATTCAATGTAAAGACTAGTAGTCTTAACCTCTCTTCCTATCCAGTGAACAGGACACCATTTTAATACCCCCAAACCCTCCAAGAAATGCCATCATAAGACCTACCGGCAGCTTTCTTCTTATCCATCCCCTTCCCCACGCAGTTCAAGGCAGCCGTGACGACAGTGGGCTCTGAGAAGCCCAGGACCCGCTTCACCGTCTTCTCCACCCATGGCTTCAGTTCGTCCAGCTCCCTTTTGGAGAGCGCCATTGTGAGGAGGAGGGTCTCGCTGGGCCTGAAAGGAAATATTGCAACTAGCATCAGTTTAGTCTGAACAGGGATTCTGGGAGATGCAAGTCACCAGGGGGGGTGATGGCATATTCTGAACACCAAGAAACCCCATATTTTACTCTATTATTATTACATTTATTATTTTACTCTGTTATTATTACATTATTTTACTCTATTATTGCTTTTATTACATTTATTATTTTACTCTATTATTATTACATTTACATTATTTTACTGTATTATTATATTTATTGCATTTATTATTTTACTCTATTATTGTTATTATTACATTTATTACTTTATTATTATTACTATTAAATTTCCATTATTTACTCTATTATTTTTTAATTACATTTTATTACAGGTTATTATTTTATTCTATCATTATAGGTAATAGGTAAGCCCATTTATATTGAAGGAGGCTAGAATAATGGTTGAATCAGAGTTGGGCAGTCTTATTTTAAATTACAGTTTTGTGTAAATACTCAAAAACATTTAACCTACTGACGATTACCAGTAGCAGCTACATTTCTCACCCTTGGCTTATACTCGAGTCAATATGTTTTTCCAGTTTTTCGTGGTAAATTAGGTCCCTCGGCTTATATTCGGGTTGGCTTATACTTGAGTATATATGGTAAAATATATACAATAATGTATAAATATTAAAATTAATGTGGCGTCCCTATGTTGCAGATTTTCACTTATCGCGGGTGGTCCTGGAACGGAATCCCCGCGATAAATGAGGTAGTATTGTTTTCTTTTAGAGGGAAATCTAACTCCCATCATCCCCACTTCTCCTTGGGGGCAATGGGACCTGCATGCTATCCTCTCAGATAATAATAAACTGGTGAAAGAGATAGAGAGGCAGTGGGCCCATTATTATTATTATTATTATTATTATTATTATTATTATTTCTTGCTTTATCTACCCCAAAGGGCTGATTGTGTTTAATTGCAGGCCAAAATCTTTAGGCACTGCACCCAGTTTATTATTATTATTATTATTATTGTTGTTGTTGTTGTTATTATTTGAAACAGAACAAGATGAGTCCATAGCAGACAAGATCACTCTGCTGGCTGTTGTATTGGATCACACGTCGGACACTTCCCAAGTGTCTAGGACTGTGTGATGTATCGGAGAATAATGCGTGCAGATCCCAGTAAGGTGGCCTTTTGCAGCTGGCAGATGGTAATCTTGTCAGCGATTGTGTTTAAGTGCAGGCCAAGGTCTTTAGGCACTGCACCCAGTGTGCCGATCACCACTGGGACCACCTGACTGGCTTTTGCCAGAGTCTTTGCAGTTTAAACTTTAAATCCTCATATCGTGTCAGCTTTTCCAGTTGTTTCTCTTCAATCCTGCTGTCACCTGGGATTGCAACATCAACAATCTATACTTTGTTTTTTTCCACTATTGTGAGGTCAGGAGTATTGTGCTCCTAAACCCTGTCTGTCTGAATCCAGAAGTCCCAGAGTAGCTTATTATTATTAATTATTATTTTTATTATTTTCTGATTTGATATTCTGGGTTATATGGCTGTGTGGAAGGGCCCTAAAACTTACACAGAACCATTGATAAGCAAAAAAGAGAGGCTGCATTCTTTACATCAACCATATCGGCCTGTGACCACTCATGTTGCCACCAAAAACTAAATGCAAATGCTCACAGTATAATAGTAGTAATAATAATAATTGTGACGTCAGGAGTATTTTGCTCCAAAACTCTGTCAGTCTGAATTCGGAATCCCAGAGGAGTCTGACGTGTTCGTTTTGTGTAACTTGTGATCCCACCAGTTCTTTGTCGCAGGCAGATGGTCTTTGTGGCACAAGTTCCAATGAATCATCTGAGCAATGGTGTTATGCCTCTGCTTGTAGTCTGTCTGCGCAATCTTCTTGCAGCAGCTCAGGATGGAATCTATTGGTTCATCTGCTTCCTTGCAGAGTCTACACTTGGGATCTGTCGTAGACTTTTCAGTTCTGGCTTTGATGGCATTGGTTCAAATGATTTGTTCCTGGGCTGCCAGAATCAGGCCCTTCTTTGTCTCCTTTTTTAGAGTCCCATTTGTGAGCCACATACATGTTTTTTCTTTGTCAATTTGGCTACCACCGAGAAGGCCCTGTCCCTCGTCCCTGCCAAATGTGTTTGAGACAGAGGCAGGGCCGAGAGCAGGGCCTCCCCAGAAGATCTTAAACTCCGAGGTGGGGCGTAGAAGGAGATACGTTCGGACAGGTACGCTGGACCAGAGCCATATAGGGTTTTATAGGTCAAGACCAGCACTTTGAATTGTGCTCAGAATTGGATCGGCAGCCAGTGAAGCTGACACAACAGGAGTGGCATGCTCCCTATATGATGCTCCAGTGAGTAATCTAACTGCCGTCTGTTGGACTAATTGCAGTTTCTGAACAGTCTTCAAAGGCAACCCCACATAGAGCGCATTGCAGTAATCTATTTGGGATGTGACAAGAGCAATCCCAGCAGTGTATCTAATGACAGGGATGGCCCAGGGGTTGAGAGCCTTGATCGTATTTCCACCATTTAACTTGCTCTTCAAAACCTTTCTGACTCTTTGGATGTATTCTTTGCTGACCACCCTTTTCACATGCCCATGCTTGATATTGTCTAATTGTAGTATGCCCAGATATTTATAGGGTTCAGGCTGATTGGCATGTCCGTTTGGCATCACAGTTATTATATTATTATTTCAAACACAAGAAGCCACTCTGCTGGCTGTTGAATAGGATCACATGCCAAACACTTCCCAAGTGTCTAGGACTGTGTGATGTATTATTATTATTATTATTATTATTATTATTATTATTATTATTATTATTATTATTATTATTATTGAAACACAACAAGATGAGTCCACAGCAGACACTCTGCTGGCTGTTGAATTGGATCACACGTCGGACACTTCCCAAGCGTCCCAAGTGATTTATTATTATTATTATTTGAAACACACACAAAAAGATTAGTATACAGCAAACGAGGTCACTCTGCTGGCTGTTGTATTGGATCACACGTCGGACACTTCCCAAGTGTCTAGGCCCTTTGGGAAGATAGAGCGGAATATAAATAAAGATTATTATTATTATTAGAAACATAATAAGATGAGTCCACAGCAGACACTCTGCTGGCTGTTGAATTGGATCACATGTCGGACACTTCCCAAGTGTCTAGGACTGTGTGATGTATTATTATTATTATTATTATTATTATTATTTGAAACACAACAAGATGAGTTCACAGCAGACACTCTGCTGGCTGTTGTATTGGATCACACGTCGGACACTTCTCAAGTGTCTAGGACTGTGTGATGTATTTATTATATAATAATAATAATAATAATAATAATTCTTTTTTATTGCTTATTGCTTATGTTTTATTTTGCTTTAAATTGTACTGTTATTGTTTTGCTGTTGTTGTGTTGAGGCCTTGGCCTTTGTAAGTCGCATCGAGTCCTGTGGGAGATGCTAGCAGGGTACAAATAAAGTTTAATAATAATAATTTAATTAATGTATTTATTATTATTATTATTATTATTAGAAACACAACAAGATGAGCCCACAGCAGACACTCTGCTGGCGGTTGAATTGGATCACACGTCGGACACTTTCCAAGTGTCTAGAACTGTGTGATGTATTTATATTATTATTATTATTATTAGAAACACAACAAGTTGAGTCCACAAAAGACACTCTGCTGGCTCTTGAATTGGATCACACATCAGACACTTCCCAAGTGTCTAGGACTGTGTGATGTATTATTATTATTATTATTATTATTATTATTATTATTAGAAACACAAGATGAGTCCATAGCAGACACTCTGCTGACTGTTGAATTGGATCACACGTCTGACACTTCCCAAGTATCTAGGACTGTGTGATGTATTATTATTATTATTATTATAAACACAACAAGGTGAGTCCACAGGTTTCTCATTCCGCCTTGGTTAGACCACACCTGGAATACTGTGTCCAATTCTGGGCCCCACAATTGAAGAGAGACGTAGACAAGCTGGAATGTGTCCAGAGGAGGCCGACAAAAATGATCAAGGGTCTGGAGAACAAGCCCTATGAGAAGCGGCTTAAGGAGAAGGCTGAGAGGAGATACGATAGCCATGTATAAATATGTGAGAGGAAGTCACAGGGAGCAAGCTTGTTTTCTGCTGCCTTGAAGGCTAGACGCGAAACAATGGCTTCAAACTACAAGAGAGGAGATTCCACCTGAACATGAGGAAGAACTTCCTGACTGTGAGAGCCGTTCAGCAGTGGAACTCTCTGCCCCGGAGTGTGGTGGAGGCTCCTTCTTTGGAAGCTTTTAAACAGAGGCTGGATGGCCATCTGTCAGGGGCGATTTGAATGCAATATTCCTGCTTCTTGGCAGAATGGGGTTGGACTGGATGGCCCAGGAGGTCTCTTCCAACTCTTTGATTCTATGTTGAATTGGATCCCACGTCAGACCCTTCCCAAGTGCCTAGGACTGTGTGATGTTGTTATTATTGTGGGAGAAACGTCAGGAGAGAATGCTTCTGGAACATGGCCCGGAAAACGCAGAGCAACCCACTAATGACACCTGGTTGTCTACCACAAGAGTAGCTTCTACTCTAAAGGCGTTTTGAACCTGCCACTGCCAGGCAGGCCTCTCTATCCCACCCCCGGGAGAGGGCCCGGTTCAGAGGGGCTCCTCAGGCCTTGCCCGGTTTCCCTCAGGAAGGAGCCGGGCCTTCCCCCCCTTGAGGCGCCTCCGCGGCCTCCCCGCCTGGCTCACCCGTCCTGGGAGTCTCCTTCCGCCTCCTTCCCGCCTCGTCCTCCTCTCCAGACCCGCTCCCTCGACGGCGCTGCGAGGTCGTCGCCCAGCGGAAGCGGAAGCCTCTTCCTGACGGCGTACGTTTTCCCTACTCTCGCTCGGAGGCGGGACTTCCTTGGCGAGGAAAGCCCCGCCTTTTCCGCCGCAGCAGGGTCGCCATGGCGACGCGGCTCTGATTGGCTGGAGGTGCTCTCCTTTTCCTCCAATAGCGAGACTAGTCTGTGTGTCAGGCCAAACTTGGGCCTTCCTCCCTCAAATCCTAGACTGTCAAGAATGGTGGGAGTTGAAGCCCAAAACAGATGGAGAACACCTTCCCCTCCCTTCTTTTTCTCTTTCTTCCCTCCCTCTTTCAATTTTATTTTTTCCTTCTTTCTTTCCTCTTCCCTTCTTTTCCTTTCTTCCTTCCCTCCCTCTCTTCCTTTTTCTCTTCTTTTTATTATTATATTAAATTATGATTTTATTAAATTATTATAAATATATTATATTAGTATTATTTTATTAAATTGTCGTTTTATTAAATTGTTATTTTAGTAAATTATTTTTATTATTATATTAAATTATGATTTTATTAAATTATTATAAATATATTATATTAGTATTATTTTATTAAATTGTCGTTTTATTAAATTGTTATTTTAGTAAATTATTTTTATTATTATATTAAATTATGATTTTATTAAATTATTATAAATATATTATATTAGTATTATTTTATTAAATTGTCGTTTTATTAAATTGTTATTTTAGTAAATTATTTTTATTATTATATTAAATTATGATTTTATTAAATTATTATAAATATATTATATTAGTATTATTTTATTAAATTGTCGTTTTATTAAATTGTTATTTTAGTAAATTATTTTTATTATTATATTAAATTATGATTTTATTAAATTATTATAAATATATTATATTAGTATTATTTTATTAAATTGTCGTTTTATTAAATTGTTATTTAATTTTTTTTGTATTTTCCATTTTTATTATTTATTAATATACCATTTCATTTTTATCTTCCCATCTTTTTAATTATTACTTAACAGTTATTTATTACAATAAGATACCTTATATTATTTAACAGATTATATGTGTTGTATTTTAACATATTGTTAATTATTACATTTAATATTTTATTACATTAAATATAAATTATTTCCTTATTTCTTTCTCTTTGCTTTTTTCTATCTTCACCCTCTTCTTTCCTTTTGCTTCCCTTCTTTTTCTCTTTCTTCCCTCCCTTTCTCATTTTCTTTTTTCCCTCCCTGTTTCTTTCCTCTTCCCATCTTAATTTCTTCTCCTTTCTTTCTTCTCTCCCTTTCTCTTCCCATCTTTTTAATTCTTCCTTCCCTCTTCTTTCCTTTCTCTTCCCTTATTTTTCTTTCTTCCCTCCCTCTTCTTTCTTCCCTTCTTTTTTCTTCCCTCCCTCTTATTTCTCTTCCCATCTTTTTCTCTTTCTTCCCTTTTTCTTCTTTCCTTCCCTTTTCTTCCCTTTTTCTTTTTTCCTTCCCCCCTTTCCCTTTCTTTTTCCTTTACTTTTCCCTCCCTGCTTTTCTTTCCCTCCTTTTTTCTTTCTTCCCTTTTTTCTTTTCTCATCTTTCTTCACTCCCTCTTCTCTTTCCTTTCCCTTCCCTTTTTTCTTTCTTCCCCCTCTTACTTTTCCCCTTCCTTTCCTCCCTCCTTTTCTTTGTCTTCCTTTTTTTCTTCCCTCCCTTTTTTCTTTTCTTTTTTTCCTTCCCCTCCCTTTTCTTTCCTTTTTCTTTCTTTCTTCCCTCACTCTCTTCTTCCCTTTCTCTTCACTTCTTTCTTTTTTCCTCCCTCTTCTTTCTTTCCCTTCCTCCCCCCCTCCTTTCCCTTATTTCTTTACACCATAGAGGCATGAACCCAAAGCATTTGGCTGGAGTCATATAATGATATATAATTCTTATTATTCAAAAAGTGAACTCATATTTATCCATGTGGAGGGAGCCCAAAAGGCCATTAACTTGGTCTCATTTAGCTTCCGAAGAACAATGGCACTCACGGAAAAGACAAATACAAGAACGAATTGATTTGAATCATCACATTCAGGGTCAATTAGGTGTCCTCTTCATTGTGTGTCTTTCGTGAGAATATTTTGTCCCCTGATCATCTTAACTTTATTTATTTACGACATTTATATGCCGCCCTTCTCACCCCGAAGGGGACTAAGAGCAGCTTACAATATATTATATTATTAGCATAGTACAATATCAGTATTATATATTACTATATTGTACTGTACCATTATATTGTAATATTATTAGTAATATTACATGTAATATAAATATATAATTATAATATATTATTAGCAGTATTATATTGCATTACATTATAATATTATAAATATTCTATTATATAATTTTAACGAATTGCTAAATATTACTATATTGTACTATACCATTATATTGTAATATTATTAGTAATATAACACGGAATATAAATATATAATTATAATATCATATTATTAATAGTATTATATTGCATTACATTATAATATTATAAATATTATATGTAAATAATTTTAACAAATTGCTAAATATTACTATATTGTATTCTACCATTATATCGTAATATTATTAGTAATATTACATGGAATATAAATATATAAATATCCTATTATTAATAGTATTATATTGCATTACATTATAATATTATAAATATTCTATGTATATAATTTTAACAAATTGCTAAATATTACTATATTGTACTATACCATTATATTGTAATATTATTAGTAATATTACATGTAATATAAATATATAATTATAATATATTATTAGCAGTATTATATTGCATTACATTATAATATTATAAATATTCTATGTATATAATTTTAACAAATTGCTAAATATTACTATATTGTACTATACCATTATATTGTAATATTATTAGTAATATTACATGGAATATAAATATATAATTATGATATATTATTTTTATTAGTAAAATAATAATATATAATTATATTAAAATTATTATTAGTAATATAATAATATATAATTATATTAGTAGTAGTAGTATTATATTGCATTACATTATAATATTATAAATATTTTATGTATATAATTTTAACGAATTGCTAAAATTTACTTTATTGTACTATACCATTACATTGTAATATTATTAGTAATATTACATGGAGTATAAATATATAATTATAATATTATATTATTATTAATAGTAGTGTATTGCATTACATTATAATATTATAAATATTCTATGTATATAATTTTAATGAATTGCTAAATATTACATTATTGTACTATACCATTATATTGTAATATTATTAGTAATATTACATGTAATATAAATATATAATTATAATATCATATATCAGTAGTAGTATTATATTGCATTATATTATAATATTATAAATATTGTATGTAAATAATTTTAACGAATTGCTCCCCTTAAAAATCAAACACCATGAGGACATCCCACTAGAAATCCCACAATCACCAAGTGATTTTTCACAAGGGCTTTATTGCCGTCATCATTTTTCAGACTGTAAAAAGAAACCAAGGAGTTGCTCTTCAATATTCACAGAAAACCCCTTTACTCTGATGATTAAGGGGGTTCAAAACAATCCCCACCGAAGAGATACGCTGCTAGGTCTCCAATACGGAAAACCCTTGAGTTCAGCAACCCATCCAAGGGTCTGCGCGATTCTTGCGTGCAATGAAGCTGATCTTCCGAGCCATTTCCGTGTTATATATATTCCGGCACGCTTCGTAGGTCTCCCGCTGCCTCCTGCGGCAGGGCTTCTCGTAATACCGCCGCCGCTTGGCTTCGTCGATGATCCCATCCATGGTGAGGACCCTGGAGAAGAGGAGAAAGGAGACCCCTTGTCAAAGAGGCACAGATCGAGTCGGATGCTTGCTTGCCTTCCCTCCAGATGCAATTAGAAACAACAACACCCCTTAAATGTATATCCTATTCTGTATTTTTTCTGCATGAGTTAACAGTGTGATGCAGCAGCTGAAAAGGCCAATGTGATTCTAGGATGCATCAATAGACGTCTAGTGTCTAGATCAGTGGTTCGTCAAGGGACCACCTTGACGAGGGACCACCTTGGCGAGGGACCACCTGACCAGGGAACACTTTGATCAGGGACCACTTTGACTAGGAACCACTTGACCAGGGACCACCTTGACCAGTAACCACCTTGACCAGGGACCACTTTGATCAGGGTCCATTTTGACAAGAGACCACTTTGACAAGGGACCACTTTGACCAGGGACCACTTTGACCAGAGTCCACCTTGACCAGGGTCCACCTTGACCAGGGACCACTTTGACCAGGGCCACCTTGACCAGGGACCACCTTGACCAGGGACCACCTTGACAAGGGTACACTTTGACCAGGGACCACCTTGACAAGGAACCACTTGAGCAGGCATCACTTTGACCAGGGACCACCTTGACCAGCGCCACCTTGACCAGGGGCCACCTTGACCAGGAACCATTTTGAACAGGGTCCAGCTTGACCAGGGTCCACTTTGACCAGGGACCACTTTGAAGAGGGACCACTTGACCAAGGACCATTTTGACCAGGGACCACCTTGACCAGCGACCACCTTGACCAGGGGCCACCTTGACCAGGGTGGGGTTGGGTGGTATTGATTTTGTCATTTGGGAATTGTAGTTGCTGGGATTTATAGTTCACCTACAATCAAATAGCATTCTGGACTCCATCAACAGTGGAATTGAACCAAACTTAGCACACAGAACTCTCATAACCAACAGAAAATCCTGGAAGGGTTTGGTGGGCATTGACATTGAGTTTTGGAGTTGTAGTTCACCTAAATCCAGAGAACACTGTGGATTCAAACAATGATGGATCTGGACCAAACTTGGCACAAATACTCAATATGCCCAAATGTGAATACTGGTGGAGTTTGGGGAAAATAGATCTTGACATTTGGGAGTTGCAGTTGCTGGGACTTATAGTTCACCTATAATCAAAGAGCATTCTGAATTCCACCAACGGTGGAATTTTTTTTTTTTATTGTGTCAGGAGCGACAAGTCGCTTCTGTTGTGAGAGAATTGGCCGTCTGTAAGGACGTTGCCCAGGTGATGCCCGGATGATTTGATGTTTTTATCATCCTTGTGGGAGGCTTCTCTCATGTCCCTGCATGAGGAGCTGGAGCTGATAGAGGGAGCTCATCCGCCTCTCCCGGATTCAAACCTGCGACCTGTCGGTCTTCAGTCCTGCCGGCACAGGGGTTTAACCCACTGCGCCACCGGGGGCTCCAACTGTGGAATTGAACCAAACTTAGTACACAGAACTGCCATGACCAACAGAAAATACTGTTAGGATTTGGTGGGCATTGACTTTGAGTTTTGGAGTTGTAGTTCACCTACATCCAGAGAGCACTGTGGACTCAAACAATGATGGATTTGGACCAAACTTGGCACGAATACTCGGTATGGCCAAACGTGAACACTGGTGGAGTTTGGGGAAAACAGACCCTGACATTTGGGATTTGTAGTTGCTGGGATTCAATTCAAGTTTGGTTCAATTCCACCGTTGGTGGAGTCCAGAATGCTCTTTGATTGTACGTGAACTATAAATCCCAGCAAGTACAAGTACCAAATGACAAAATCAATTCCCTCCCAAGTCCACCAGTAGTCAGATTTGGGTATATCTAGTATTTGTGCCAAATTTGGTCCACTGAATGAAAATACATTCTGCATATTGGATATTTACATTACGATTCATAACAGTATTAAAATGACAGTTATGAAGTGGCAATGAAAACAATGTTATGGTTGGGGGTGACCACGACATGAGGGGTCACAGCATTAGGAAGGTTGAGAAACCCTGCCTCAGGGCCTTCTTAAGTCTTAAACAACTTGAAAACACACAACAAGAGGAAAAGACTCTAAGCACAGATGGGGAGAGTCAATGAAAAGGCAGTCTGTATCTCCTCCCATGCAGGAGAGAAGAGGAGAAGGGGGAAATATCGGAATATTATCATTATTATTATTTTTAGATGGTTTAATGGGGCTCTGCACGTTTCCAGATGCCTGCCCCAGTGGGCCGTTTGCATGCACATGGCTCTGCAAGACGACCCGGTGGTGCGTCAGTGTGTCAGTGTGTGGAAAACAGTCGTGAATGGGACCCAAGCCCAGCCCCACGGCCCACGGCATCCAATGAGGGAGCCGTGACGTCCCCGCCACCCACCCCACAGCCCAGCCAATCCCCAGGCAGGCTGGCTTCTCGGAATGGGAGTTATGCAACCTCATGCGCCGCCTTGCTCTTCTCCTGCTGGTCTCATGGGCCGAGGCTGGGAGGGAGACACATGTTTGGCTCAATGGCAGCACAGGCAACCCGAACGTGCCGAGGAGGAGGAGGAGGAGGAGGAGACCGCAAAACACAGTCACGGCGGAGCAGAGCAACTGCAGTTCAAGCTATTTTTAACCCTTCGGGACTGAAGCATCCAAAGAGAACTACACAGGGCATACAACCCTATGGGCTTTAGCAAGGTCACACCAGGAGACCTTTGTTGTGTTCATGACTCTGCACCTTGCCCTACAATTGGCGAATTCAGGAGGCCAGGAAACCCCCTGAACAGGGAAAGATGGTGATTGCAGTCCAACACCTGGAAAGCAACATAATTCCCAGCAGGCATTTTCTCCTGACGTTTCGCCTGCATCTATGGCAAGCATCCTCACAGGTAGTGAGGTCTGTTGGAATTAGGACAATGGGTTTATATATCTGTGAAATGGCTGGGGTGGGGCAAAGAGCTCTTCTCTGCTGAAGCTAGGTGTGAATGTTTCAACTGACCACCTTCATTAGCATTTGAAGGCCTGCCTGAGCCTGGGAAAAGGTTCTGTTGAGAGGTGTTAAGATGTGCCTGGTTGTTTCCTCTCTGCTGTTTTGCTGTTGTAATTTTAGAGTTTTTTTAATAATGGTAGCCAGATTTTGTTCATTTTCAACAGAAAGGAAGAGACCACCTTCATTAGCATTTGAAGCCCTGGCTGAGCCTGGGAAAATCTTTCGTTGAATCATAGAATCATAGAATCAAAGAGTTGGAAGAGACCTCATGGGCCATCCAGTCCAACCCCTGCCAAGAAGCAGGAATATTGCATTCAAATCACCCCTGACAGATGGCCATCCAGCCTCTGTGTAAAAGCTTCCAAAGAAGGAGCCTCCACCACACTCCGGGGCAGAGAGTTCCACTGCTGAATGGCTCTCACAGTCAGGAAGTTCTTCCTCATGTTCAGATGGACTCTCTTGTAGTTTGAAGCCATTGTTCCGCGTCCTAGTCTCCAAGGAAGCAGAAAACAAGCTTGCTCCCTCCTCCCTGTGGCTTCCTCTCACATATTTATACATGGCTATCATATCCTCTCAGCCTTCTCTTCTTCAGGCTAAACATGCCCAGCTCCTTAAGCCGCTCCTCATAGGCTTGTTCTCCAGACCTTTGATCATTTTAGTCGCCCTCCTCTGGACACATTCCAGCTTGTCAATTATCTCTCTTCAATTGTGGTGCCCAGAATTGGACACAATATTCCAGGTGTGGTCTAACCAAGGCAGAATAGAGCATGGAGAGCATGACTTTCCTAGATCTAGACACTAGGCTCCTATTGATGCAGGCCAAAATCCCATTGGCTTTTTTTGGGCGCCACATCACATTGTTGGCTCATGTTTAACTTGTTGTCCACAAGGACTCCAAGATCTTTTTCACACGTACTGCTCTCGGGCCAGGCATTGTCCCCCATTCTGTATCTTTGCATTTCGTTTTTCCTGCCAAAGTGAGAGGTGATTAGATGTCCCAGATTGTTTCCCCTCTGTTGTTCTGCTGTTGTAATTTTAGAGTTTTTTAATACTGGTAGCCAGATTTTGTTCATTTTTATTATTTATTATTATTAAATTTATTTGTACCCCGCTAGCATCTCCCGAAGGACTCGATGCGGCTTTCAAAGGCCAAGGCCTCAATACCCAACATAACAATACACCTAAAGCAGTGGTTCTCAACCTTCCTAATGCCGTGACCCCTTAATACAGTCCCTCGTGTTGTGGTGACCCCCAACCATAACATTGTTTTTGTTGCTACTTCATAACAGTCATTTTACTACTGTTATAATCATAATGTAAATATTAGATATGCAAGATTCACTGGACCAAACTGGGCACAAATACCCAATGCACCCACATGTAAATGCTAGGGGGGTTGGGGGAGGATAGATTTTGTAATTTGGGAGTTGTAGTTGCTGGGATGGATAGTTCACCTATACTCAAAGAGCATTCTGAACTCCACCTGTATTTGAACCTAATTTGCCACATAGAACTCCCATGACCAAAAGAAAACACTGGAAGGGTTTGGTGGGTATTGACCTTGAGTTTGGGAGTTGTAGTTCACCTATATCCAGAGAGCACTGTGGACTCACGCAATGGTGGATCTGGACCAAACTTGGCACAAATACTCAATATGCGCAAATGTGAACACTGGTGGAGCCTGGGGAAAATAGACCTTGACTTTTGGGAGTTGTAGTTGCTGGGATTTATAGTTCATTACAATCAAAGAACATTCTGAACTCCACCAACGATAGAATTGGCTCAAACTTCCCACATGGAATCCCCATGACCATCAGAAAATACTGTGTTTTCTGATGGTCTTTGGCAATCCCTCTGACACCCCTTCGCGACCCCCTCAGGGGTCCCAACCCCCAGGTTGAGAAACACTGACCTAATGCAAATTAAAAACAATTAAAGCAATATTAAAACAACAAACAACAAGCAATAAACAATACACCAAAACACAATAAAACTGGGCCGGGCCAGAGCAAAGGGTACAGGATTAAAAGTGTTCATG